CCAATCCTGATGCCCCATTCTTTCCAGCTTTTTGGATTATTTGCTCAGCATACAGATTGAATAAGAATGGTGAAAGGGTACAACTCTGACACACACCTTTCCTGGTTTTAAACCATGCGGTGTCCCCTGGTTCTGTTCAAATGACTGTGTTTTGGTCTGCATACAGGTTCTTCATGAGCACAATTAAGTGTTCTGGAATTCCCATTCTTCTCAGTGTTATTCATAATTTGTTGTGATCCACACAGTCGAATGCTTTTGGATAGTCAGGAAAACACAGGTAAACATCTTTCTGGTGTTCTCTGCTTTCAGCCAAGATCCATCTGACATCAGCAATGATATCCCTTATTCAGTGTCCTCTTTTGAATCCGGCCTAAATTTCTGGCAGTTTCCAGCTGCTGTACTGCTACAACCATTTTTTAATTATTTTCAGCATAATTTTACCTGTGTATTAATGATATTGTTCAATAATTTCTGCATTTTGTTGGATCACCTTTCTTTGGAACGGGCACAAATAATGGATCTCTTCCAGTCAGTTTGCCAGGTAGCTCTCTTCCAAATTTCTTGGCATAGACTAAGTAACTCCAGCATTGCATCTGTTTGTTGAAACATCTCAGTTGGTGTTCTGTCAATTCCTGGAGGCTTGTTATTCCCAGTGCCTTCAGTGCAGCTTGGACTTCTTCCTTCAGTACCATCAGTTCTTGACCGTATGCTACCTCCTGAAATGGTTGAACGTTGACCAATTCTTTTTGGTACAATGACTGTATATTCGGTCTTCTTTTGCTGCTTCCTGTGTTGTTCAGTATTTTGCCTGTAGAATCTTTTAATACTGCAACTCGAGGCTTGAATTTTTTCTACAGTTCCTTCAGCTTGAGAAATGCCACAAGCGTTCTTCCCTTTTGGTTTTCTAACTCCAGGTCTTTGCACATTGCATTGTACACTTTACTTTGTGTTCTTGAGCTGCCCTTTAAAATCTTCTGTTCAGCTCTTTTACTTCATCATTTCTTCCATTTGCTTTAGCTGCTCTACATCTGTGAGCAAGTTTCATAGTCTATTCTGACATCCATTTTGGTCTTTTCTTTCTTGCCTGTCTTTTTAATGACCTTTTGCTTTCCTCATGTTTGATGTCATCCCACAACTCGTCTGGTTTTCGGGCACTAGTGTTCAGTGTGTCAAATCTATTATTGAGATGGTCTCTAAATTCGGGTAGGATATACTCAAGGTTGTATTTTGGCTCTCAGGGACTTGTTTTAATTTTCTTCAGCTTCCACTTGGACTTGGATATGAGCAATTGATGGTCTGTTCAGCAGGTGGCCCCTGGCCTTGTTCTGACTAATGATATTGAGCTTCTCCTTTCTCTCTTTCCATAAATGTAGTTGATTTGATTCCATATTCCATTCGGCAAGGTCCACACGTATAGTCACCGTTTTTGTTGTTGAAAAAAGATACTTACAAC